CCGATGTTGGGCCCTTTGTGCTGGATCTGGTAGCTGCGGTTTTGGGCGCGCGTATTCTTTAGATGAGAGCCACAAATTCAGACCAAGGCAGACCCCACTAGAGCCACAAGACTATGACATGACAAGGGCGAGGTTATGCAAGCACAAGCAAGCAAATCGAGTTCAAACCACAAATAAATAAAAGAAAAAAGCGCAGTTGTGTAGTTGAAGGTTGTCAGCAAGTTGCTTTGAGTTTGAGTTGGTTGTTGCTGCTGCAGTTGTTACAGTGACGTGGTCCCACAAGCCAAAAAGTCAGTGACATCCCGCGCGCGCGCACACGCAGTAGTCGGTGATGGGGCCTCGACAGGCCGACGACAGCATGCTACGGGGCGGTGGGGTCCAGGCGGGAGGGGGCCCCTCGTTGTTGGGAACGTTGGGATGGCTGCAACGCTGGCCAATGTTTCTATTTGCGGCTTTGCTTGGTGCAAGCGGGGTGGAGGCTGGAATGGCTGTGATCTATGGTCAGGCCCTGATCTTGACTGCCGGTGGCAGCGACAATGTCTCAATGCCGACTGCTGGGCTGGTGGATGTGGCCGAGTACTTTGATGGCACGGTGCACGAGGCTGTGGAGACCATGACACCGCTGGCTATGCTGAGTGCAGGTGTGGGCTATCACAACGAGTTCTACGTCATGGGGGGTTTGGGGGGTGACCAGGCGGCGCTCCACTTGGTCAATGTCTTTGATGGGCAAAGGTGGTACAGCGCGCCACAAATGACACGGGCACGGGCAGGGGCAGCCACCGCCGTTTTTCAGGACCGTATCTATGTGATCGGCGGGCAGACAAGTCTTGGCGAAGCCGGTCAGGCTTCGTATGAAGTCTTTGATGGCGCACGGTGGACGTTGTATCCGCTGGACTTTAACGTGACGGGGGCTACGGCAGGCGTCTTTGGTGGCCAACTCTATTTGATTGGTGGTTATATTGCTGCGTCCAACTCCCCAACAGATTTGGTCTGGCGCTTAAATGGATCCGCTTTTGTGGCGCACAGCCGGCTGCCCGTGCCGTTGGCCATCGCTGCCGCTGCCACCTTTCAAGCGCAACTGGTGGTCTTGGGCGGCGTGAACGCACACAAGCAGCAGAGTCCTCTGGTTTTTGCCATGGATGGCGAAGAACAGTGGCGGCAGTGGCCCTCTATGGTGGAGGCACGCTCTTCCCTGTGTGCGACAGTACTACGGGGCAAGCTCTATGCCATGTTCGGGCGCGGGGCCAACGGCAGCGCCACGGCCCTTGAGGCCTTTGATGGCAAGGCCTGGAGGGCCGAGCCCCTAGCCGACAACGTTCCACCCCGCTTCGGCGCAGCCTGCAGCACCCTAGTGTATCCCTAATACACACGTTTCGTGCAGATGTTGATTGGGTCTCGTTGCGCAGGGAGAGGGAGAGTGTGAGTGTGCGAGTCAGTGAGTGAGTCAGTTGTGCGTGTGCGAGAGCTTTTACTTTTACTTTGCAATTGAATTGAGATGTTGCTGCTCGGGGGGGCTGATGTAACGAGAGCAACCCCATACCAGGAGCTTGGGCGCCTGAGCCTTGTCGCTTCCATGACGGGTTGGGGGCATGGTTTCAACAGGTTCTCGGGCCAGGTAACGTTTCTCTCCAAGCAATGAGTGACAAGGGATGACTTGCTGTGCCTTTGCCTGTGCCTGTGCCACTTGTCGGCTTGAAAGCTGTCATCGCTCAAACGCTACGACAGGCCCGTGGGTAGCGCCGGCCGTAAATTGACAGAGTTGATGACACTGATATGATACTGCGTGCTTGCTGGATGCGATTTCGTTACATCAAGGCTGTAGGAGGACGAACCAATTGCCAAGCCGAAGAGCAAAGCCGAACAGGGGTCAAGGGCTGGAATCGCGGTTGAATCCAAAGCATCACGAAAGCGACACCATCATCACCATGATGGACCGAGTGGGCCCTGGCTCTGCTCTGGCGCAATCAACTTCCAACACTCACACATACAAACGCCACCCGCACGGCGCCACGTCTTGCTCATTCACTTTGTCGTCAGTTGACGCTCATGCTTCATCAATCGCACGCGCGCGATGAAATGATGAAATGGGAGTTGCCCCCCAACATCCCATAACCAAAACCAAGGCAAAAACCCATACACCCAAACGTATGGTCCCTACATGGACAGTTAGAGGCGTCGGAAAGTCACGCTCCAAGACTGCGCAGGTTGAAACCCCTCTGCTCGCTTTGGGTTGCATGCGCGATCGACTGTGTTTTGTTTTGGGCGAGAAGAGAATGATGCCCCGTGCGCAACTCTTGAGGGTGAGAAGGGAAGGGGGCTCAACGACGCTGGGCAGGCCAATCACAGGGTCAGATGGCGCACATCACAACCCCGCACCAGAGCCGTATTCGAGGTTGCATCACAGGGTATTCTGAATCATGAAGCCCAATTTTTTTCTCCGAAAGTATGCCCTAGCAGGGTTTGATCAGTTATTGCAGCCGAACAAGAGTTTTATGAAGACAAATAAAGACTTTATGTATATAGTTGTTAGTATAAATACAATGTATTAATGTTTGTAAAGAAAGTTTGTGAAGCATTAAACAGAGATATATACGGAGATATACGTAATAGATACATTAAAAGAAGCCATGGCCACCCCAACAGACCTCTTCAGTCCTATTTTTGATGTAGCAGTCCTGACACAAGAACTCCGTCCTTCCGGGTCACGTACGTGCAGGTTTGTCAGTGTTGTGGGACTATGGGCCTAATGATTTCGTACTTGACCCCTTGCATGCAAGCCCACACTGCATCCCTCACTCTCTCTTTTCATAAGCACAATCACACACAGACCGCGCGCGGATCTTGCCTCAAGGGTCCCCACCCACCACAGACCGGCTGCCCCTTTCCCCACCCATTCTCCTTTCCCTGCACACCGCACAGCTCTCTCTCTCTCTCTCTCTCTCTCTCTCTCTCTCTCTCTCTCTCTCTCTCTCTCTCTCTCTGTGTTGTTTGGTCCTAATACTCAGCATTTTTCTTCCTGGCGACCTCGAGTTGACAGCCACACACACACACACTACACATCTGACCCTTGCTTCCCCGTGACGCCATCTCCCACCTCTTTCGTTCGCATATCTTTTGAGGTCAAGGAATCCTTGCGCTCTTCTCGTGTTGTGCGCGGTTTCCACCGCACAGCCACAGCCACCCACCCACCCATCACAGCCACCCACCCCTCACGCGGTCCACAAGTGAGAGACAATGGACTGCATGGGAACAGAGCTCGCTCCGTTTACGGCCGATCTCAACCCCACGGCAGGCTTGCCCAGTCCTGCTGCCCCACACGGCCCGACTGCGACTCGCACCGATAACATACCCGTCATGACGCCCGCCCCTGTCATGAACCCCGTTCAAGTCTGGCAACAGCAGCTGGCTGCCTACCAAGCGGCCTACGCGCACCAAATCCTTCTCCAACAACAGCAGCTCCACCAACACCATCAACAACAACTTCAGCAACAGCGCATTCACTTGCAGCCCGCCACCTCCCCTCAGCTCGAGGAGCAGCAGCAGCAGCAGCAGCAGAAAACATCCATCCCGGACGAGGTTGGCCCCGCTGTCAAGCGCGTCCGACAAACCGTCGTCGCCGCCGCCGCCACCACCACCAGTCCTGCCGCTTCTCCGGCAGCGTCCCCGTCATCATCCGAACCAGTGGCTCAGGTTCTCATCCCTTCCATGCAACTGGTCATTAAATGTGACGATCAAGTGCGCACCCTCGCCGAAACGCGTGCCAAGATGGGCCTTCACCCTTCCCAGGGCCGCTTCCGTGTTAACGGCTTGGTCATCAGCCACCACGTCGAACACGACATTCAACTCGTGCCCCAACATCGCTACGAACTCGACCTTTGCGCTGCTATGACTTCCCAGCCCCCCACCAAGCAGATGCCCAGTTTTCCCACTTGCTCCGACTTTGAATTTATGTACTCGACCGACGAGGCATCGTGCATGGGCCCAAGTACCGCGGCCATGTCCAAGGTCAACTTTGGCCAACATGCCAAAGACCTCAAATCCGCCGCTCGCCTGCACAACGGAGCCTCATGCTTTGGACCTGCCGTTGCAATCCCCAACAGCCGCCGGCGTCGTCGCAGCTCGCCCATTCTCCGCCGCCAACACGCTGCTCTGGCACCCAGCACCGACCACTCCCTGGCGCTGGCGTGTGGCGAGACAGCCATGGCCACCGCCGACGATGGCATGGATGGGCTGGCCATCCATGTCTAAAGCTCTTCCCCTTTTTGCTTTTTGCGTTTTGGTTTTGTTCTCTTTTCCGTTTCTTAGACTAGACCCGATTTAGATTTTCCTCTTGCTTCAGGATGAACGCTCCCCGAGGCGCTTCCATCCTGTTGCTTTGATATTTTACCTTGTTCGCCCAGGCCCGAGGCCACGGCACTTGCGTGGCGGCATGTCAATGAGTTGTGTATACGCAAAACAAAGTCACGCTGAGCGTGCCCATTTGTTTTTTCAACCTCGGCTGCGAAACAGCCATGCCCCCTCCCTTGCCAACTTTTGCAAATTCAACAAAACGTTTGCTTGACCATCTCTTCTCTCCATCACACCAGCTTCGTTCCTCACACGACGCTCGACCATGACGACGAGACTTGCCAGGAGGTTCTCCACACCTCGAAGCAAAGGATTCAAACCAAACAACACGCAGAAAGCTCGCCACACTCATGACTTCTCTCCGCGGATCAATACGAGTGACCGGTCCAGAGGCTTCAGTCATTCAGGTCAATTGACTCGGTTTGAGGAGCAAGTGTGGAAACAAGGAAACAGCAATATCATGAACACCATCACTACCACCATCACTACCATGGGCGTTTGCAAACGAGGGCAGGCGGCCTCGCCCAGCGAGTTGCATGTGCCTGTCCGTTCGCCCCGTCTGCTCCCTGTCAGCCAAAAAGTTGAACAGCTCCTGACACTGGGTCACTGCTTGTTTGATCCTCTTCGAGGGTCTGGCTGCAAATTCAAAGCAAATGCTCAGGTGGTCCAGGTGCCATAGCTACCAGCATTTCGCGGGCCACCGGCCGTCTTTTTGGCGTGCAGCGTCCCCTTGCTTTTGTTGGCGCGGATGGCGTCATTGATCTGGTCCAAGCGCTCGCGCTCTGCCTCCGGGAAGAGGAGGCGATGCGCTGCGCCAGTGCGGGCCGACTGCTCCAGTGCAGCTCGGACAAAAGCTTGGTGCCAACGAGCGAGCTGTAGTTCCAGCAACTGACACAGGACAGCACATCGGTCGGTTTTCTGCGCGAGGCTGAGCAAGGGCTTGTTCTCTGCGTTGGGCACCTTGCTGCCTTCTGCATCCTCAAGCGAGTCACGAAAGGCCCAGGGCAGTTCGTCCAGGCACTGCTGCACGCGCTTGGCTGCCGCAGCAAAGCGAAAGCTATCGTCCGTCTGCAGCTCATGTTCCAAGCGGTATCGAAAGACAGCCGTCTCTACCACGTAGCGGGAGGTTGGATTGAGATGCTGCGCCATCTCGTCCAGAGCTGCAAAAATCTTGCTGTAGGCCTCAAACAGCTCTCGGTTCTTGCGCAGCCCCTTCAAGTCGCGCCGCTTTTCTAGTTCAGTGACCAAGGGTAGGTAACATTCTGCCGAGGCCGCATTCGTGACAGCCGCAACAGCCTTGCAAATCACGCCCTGCGCTCGTACGAGCTTCTTCTCGTTGTCCACAAAGCCAAGCAGCTTGTTCACCACGGCCTCCACCTTGGCCTGCTCCTCCGCCGCATCCACCGCCGGACTTTCTGCCACCGTGGCGGCCCGTTTGGCCGGCCCCTCACCCGCCGTCACCCCGGCATCATCCGTTTCCACCGCCCGCTTCCCAACAGCACACTCTCCCCCCTCAGCCATCGTGACGCGACTCACTGACGCAGTGAAGAAGAATAAAAAGGAAGAAGGAATAAGAAGATGTAGCATAAAGTAGAGAAGATGCAGTTGATCGGACTAGTGTATAGGTAAAGTAAAGGTGAAGATTGCACTGGAAAAGGTAGCAGAATGTTTAAAAGTTGTAGAAGATATTCAGAGGAGAGCGAAAGAGAGAGAGAGCAAAAAGTCTCTCTCTTTCTCTTTTTTTTCTCTCTCACTCGCACACACACACTCTCTCACTCTCTTCGTTTGCGCAGAGCGCCATGTCGCAGACACAGCACCCAGAGCACCATGGCCGTGTGCACAAGACGGAACGGGTGAGGGTGGATGATTCCGATGATGAACTTCTGGACGACGCCCCTCCAGCTCCGCACGAGCACTTTACGCTTTCGAGTCAGAACTTGCCCATCACCGAGCACCGGCAAGCCTTGATTGACCTGATTCAGGAGAACCGGTGCACCGTGGTAATTGGCGAGACGGGCTCCGGTAAAACAACCCAGCTGCCGCAGTATCTATACGAAGCAGGCTTTCACAAGGAGGGTCCCATCCTTGTGTCGCAGCCACGCCGGGTTGCTGCCGTGTCTGTTGCGGCCCGTGTTGCCGAGGAGCGCGGCACGGTCGTGGGCAGTGAAGCCGTGGGCTACCACGTGCGCTTTGATCGCCAGTGCCGCGATGACACGGCCATTCGCTATGTCACTGACGGTGTACTTCTGCGCGAATGCCTGGCTGACCCGACGCTTGCCAAGTACAGCGTCGTTGTGCTTGACGAGGCGCACGTTCGCTCGCTCGAGACAGACATCTTGTTCGGACTCCTCAAGGAATCCCTCCGTCAGGCTGAACACCGCTTCAAGATTGTCATCATGTCGGCTACACTCCACGCCGACAAGTTTGAAACCTTCTTCGCAAGCCCCGTGTACCATATTCCCGGGCGTACCTTCCCCATCAGTATCCGCCATTGCAACCTCATCAACAGCGAAAACTACACCGACTTTGTTGAGCGATGCTGCGATGTGGTCATGGACATCCACTGCGAACAGGACGCAGGTGATATCTTGGTCTTCCTCACCGGTCGTGGTGAGATTGATCGGGCCTGCAGTACCATTTTTAACCGGGCCGAACACCTGGACTATGACGAGCACGTGCGTGATACCGCCGTCGATGGTCTCATTGTCGTGCCAGTCTACGGTTCGATGACTGGCAAGGCTCAGCAAAAGATCTTTGAGCCCGCACCCCCGGGCATTCGCAAGGTCGTCGTGGCCACCGACATTGCTTCCACCTCTCTGACCGTCGAGGGCATTGTGTACGTTGTCGACTCGGGCTTTGTCAAGCAAACCATGTACGACTCCAAGACTGGCCTCGATGCGCTCAAAGTCGTGCCCATCTCACGCTCCGAGGCGTCTCAGCGCGCTGGTCGTGCCGGTCGTACGCGTGAGGGTATTTGCTTTCGCATTTACGATGCCGAATTCGAGCAGACCAAGATGCACGAACACACGGTTCCGGAAATCCAGCGCTCCAGCCTGGCTTCGGTTGTGCTCACTCTCAAGTGCCTTGGCATCAATGACGTACTTCACTTTGACTACATTGATGCGCCGGAAGAATTTCAACTGTTGGAAGCCTTGCGGCGCCTCTACTTTTTTGATGCCATCGATAAGGATGGCCAAGTCACCCCCTTTGGCAAAGCCATGGCCTCGTTCCCCTTGCCGCCCTCACACGCCTGCGTTATGCTGCATGCTCAGCGTGACCACATCCCATCCGAGTTTTTGGATGATCTGGCCGCTGTTGTGGCCATGTTGGTGTCTGAGGACCCATTCGTGCGACCGGGCAACAAGGAACGACTAGCCGAGGCCGAGGAGCAACGCAAAAAGGTCAGCTTACTTGTGCAACCCGGCGACATCTTGAATCCTCTCCGGGTTGTGTGTGTGTGTGTGTGTGTGTGTGTGTGTGTGTGTGTGTGTGTGTGTGTGTGTCTGTGTGCACTCATAGTCGACGCACTGCCTTTCTGGAATAGTTGCTCGAGGGAGGAGGCGACGATTTCAATACTCTGCTTTACATCTTTCGCTGTTGCCAACAAGCTCGCGATGGTTTGAACTGGTGTAGCAAGTTTTTCATCCATAAGCGCGTGACTCGTAATGGTTAGTGTCACCTGTCTTCTTCACGAGCTTGCAAAAGGCATCGTTTGTGCCTCGGGTCATTCTCTTCCTTCAACGCCGGTATTGGATGGCTCACGAACATTCATGCATGTGCAGCAATCAAGGTACACGACCAGCTGTTGGCCATCCTCAAGTCTCTCAAGGATGCCGATTTGCAGGGTAAGACGCGGCCCGTATCGTCAGCGGAAAGCTGGCTCTTCATGCCATTCACTCAAGCTCTGCGCCGCTCTGGCTTGTTGGATGGGCATAGCCATGAACGACGTTGCACCGCCCGAAAAGCCACCTTCGCGTCGACGCCGTGATTGGTGGCGAGCTGCGCCCCAGAACGGGCTTTTGCCACCTGTACCCGAGGTTTGTCCGCCTTCCTTCCCTGGCACGAATGCTCATTTCAACTGCCCTCTTTCCCTTTCCTGCTATTCGTCTCCCTCTGTCCCCTTTCCCTCTTTTCTTCTTCTCCCCATCGTCGCTCCATTTCGTCTCTTCTGTGCTTCATGAAGCTAAGCCCATTTTTTTTTTTGTTTGCTTCTTGTTTTTGTTGCCAGGCGGATCGTGAGGTGATTTGTCGGCTCTTGTGCAAGGGCCTTTTCCACAACGTGGCACGGCGCGCTGAAGATCAAGCCTACTTCCGCACCATGGAAGGTTCGGCGGGTACCTAGCTGTCTGGCAGAGGTTCGCGGAAGGCCTGGGTCCTCACACTGATTTGGTTGTCGCTGACAGGCAATGCCAGCGTGGTAATCCTGCACCCGTCTTCGGCTTACGCCCACACGCCTGAGAAGCTCGACTGGGCCATTTTCAATCAAGTCGTGTGGACCACCAAGGTTTGTTGGTTGGCATCTTCCAACTCCCACGCTTTCTAGCGTCCGTCCCTCATCTTGCCGGCATGCTGTTCTTCAAGCCCTTTATGCGTAACGTGTGCCCCATCAAGTATGATTGGGTCCGCTACCTCTTACCCAAGCTGCGAAAGGTGTGTCACTCGCGATCGATGACGCTTCTGCTCTCCTTGCTAGCACTCTGTTGACCACTGACAAGCTTGAGTGCGGGCATCGCAGGTCGAGGTCCGGGCCTTGAGCAGCAGTGGGAAGGTCAATGCGGTGGCGCTGCGCGATTCACAGCGTGCCATCGCCGCGGAGTCAGGGCAAGTGTCCGCGGAGGTGGTGGCCGCCGCCAAGCGACGCAATGACGACACCAATGTCGATGCTGCACGTGCGCGCTACCTTGCACGCAAGTACGTAGGCACGGCTGGCACACATACAAGATGATTTCAACTAGCATGCCGTGGGCTTGTTTTTTGTCTCATTTTTTTTTTTTTTTTGCTGTTTGTTGTCGTTCTCCTCACTTTTGATTTTGTGTGCTATTTGGCATTTTGCAGGAAAGCCAAGCAGGCTCGTCCATAGGCGCCAGCGACGATTGCCTTGCTTGCGCCAAGCGCACCACTCCCATCAAACCACCCTGCCGGTTCTCGAGTTCAACCGTCACTGCAGGATTTCTGAGAGGAGAATTGTCATCGGGACTAGCTGTCCGCCGTGCGGAGCTAAGGCCCAGCTACACTTCCGACATGCTTTTCACTTTGATCAGCTCAACACCACAATGAGAAAAATGAAAATGCTTTGAATACCAATTATCGTGCTGGTGCGGGCATCGGACACGCTTCGGTCGGCCACGAGCCGATTATTGAGGAAATCGCTGCAACTCAAAGGGAAAGAAAGTGCACGTCGCGCGCCGTGGTCGCTGCAAAAGTTATCCCGGCGCCAAAAGCGCATGCACCAATCGCAGCAACGAAGGAACGGCAACAGCAAAGGTCGAGGACATCACAAAAAGTCACACGCATAATCTGGCATGGATGGGCGGTATCAATCAGACTCTGCCGCTTCCAAATGGGTCAAGTAGCTCAGCTCTCGGTATAACGGATGCGAGCGTGAGCAATATTGAACGTCTTGGGCTCGGCACTGGGGTCATGGTAGCCGATGGGACCGATCTCACAATCGGCACACGCTAAATACTGTCGGTGGTGTGGCGGTGGAGAGCAACGAGTGAGTAGCAGTCAAAGTGGGGGGGGGGGGAAGACACGCAGTAATTTGTCGACTATCAATACGTTGGCTTCATTTGCGCGAACCTTGACACCATCAACCGTCTTGCTGAAGCCCACATTGTCAAAGTCATACATATCCTTGACCTGTCAATGCGAATAGGGTTACGGAATGGGAAAGGGGAGCGTGGAGGGTGATGCGGCAATTTGACAGTATCTCAACCTTCTCAGCGCGGTACAGCACAGGCTTGGTCGTACCTGCCACCAGTGCTCGCACGTATCTGTGACGGTCTCCCCTTCAGCGCCACGCTGCACCATTTTCGGCAGCTGGACCTAAGGACAGCATGTCGTGTTCCAGGCGATGATAACACGGGGGTGAGGGGATTTTGGTGTTGTTGTCCGGGGTCCAGCAATATCGGGGGTGAAAACATACTGGAGTGTGTGTCGCCGTGGCGGCACTCTTGCTGAACACGGGCGAGTTGCAGAAGCAGCACCGGATGCGCAGGATATTCTATTGCACCGCCCACAGCGCGCAGTGAGCCAACGCGGCACCCCGCTGCTTCTCTGCTGTCTCAGGAACACTGCCTCACAAAAAGCCACGGCATCCAGGCTCATCTACGACGTACACCGTTGCTCTCGTTCACTAGCACCGCGCGGTCGAATCCCTGGTCACTATTGGGCAGGTCGGCCAAGCTGCTGGCTGGCTCACTTGTCGCCATCGTGTCGATCACACGAAGAAGTAAAAAAAAAATCCAAGAAGGCAGTGACGCCGGAAAATGCATTTACCTGCAACTTCTTTCATAATATTTTCACAAAGTGTAATCGGTTTGCTCAGAGCATCTACAACATCTACATAATACTCAGCATCAACTTGAGCTTGGCTTGAAAAAGATGACAACAGCTGGCTCAGTTTGCACACACACACACACACACACACACACACACACACACACACACACACACACTTACACACACGTGAGGGTGAGTGACCACATGAGCTGTAGGGCGAACTCCGGAGCCTTTGGGAATGGCAGCGCTGCTCTGTTCTGTTGCATGGAAGGGTGTGTGGGAATAAGTAAGGGAGGACGATGGAGAGGGTGGGCAGTGCGCCAGCTGGGTCTGAATTCTACGTTGGGTTGAGCCTGGCTGTTATCTTCTCCTTTGCTGACTGGGTCAATGGGTGGTCGTGGTGCCCCCTACGAGCCCCCTTTTATCCTCACCAGCAGTCGTGCTCGGTGCTGTCATAGGCGTCGCGGAAGCCCCTCATTTTTGCTGAAGCTTCCCGATCCTTGGCGTGCCTTGGCCCGTCCGAGCGTCGGCTACTTGCAGCGCTTCCCATCAACATGGGTGGGGTCCCGCGCTGGCCGGCCCGCCTCCTGGGGCTGTTGGGTCTGGCGCTGTTGGCAGCGGCCTGGCGACAGGTGCCGCCCGTTTTTATGGACAACGCCAACCCCGTCCCTAATCAACGAGCATGGATCGAGCGCAGTGGTTGCGGCTTCACCGTCCTTACCAGCAAGGTTCGGCCACCGTTCTGCAGAGAGAATGCTCACATCAGCCTTGGGCGTCCTGTCATGTGACCGCTCCCCGCTTTTCTGACCCAAGCACGCTATCTGTGGGTGTCCCGCCCTGCATGCAGGTCTTACGTATTCAGTGCGGCAATGTTGACCGCAATGTGGATGGACAATCGGCCAGCATGGCTTTTATCAACCGACGCTTGCCTTTGCCCGAGTACAAGATGCTCATCGACGATGATTATCTCATGGTCACAACCACAGACTTCAACCTCACCTGGCCCAGTCGTGACCCAGCAGACATTGCCGTCACTGCACTGCAAACCAACTATACCTGGCACTACGAAACCAATGTAGGTGGCGGCTGCTGCCGCTTCTTTGCAAGCTGGTTGCTGGCAACGTGCCCGTTGCAGCCCCTCGCTTGCTGCCCTGTTGCAGTCTGCAGGATAGGGATTGACGCTTTGGCTGCTCTGCTCTGCCATGGTAGGCGACTGGTAACCTTGGCGGAACCATCTCCTCCTTCAACGAGGTCTCTCCCGACGAAGCAGGTCAGCCTGCTTTGCAAGCGGCCCGCCTTCACAGTGCCCTGGCCAAACCGTTGGTTTCATGCTTGCTCGTGCCCAATTGATTCTGCAGGACACCTGGCGCTGTCCAATGGCCTCTTGTCGCGCGATGGCATTGCCGTCTTCAACGACACGGCCACGCCCCACTTCGATCCGCGTTTCTCCTTTGCAGGCCAGCCCTGGATCAGCCCACGCAATGACACGGGCTTCACGGTTGGTGGTTTCACCCACCACCTCGGACCATGCGGCGGGCACCTGCCCAACGGTAGTAGTTACCTGCTCACCTGCGCTGGTGTGGGATGCACAACCTGCTGGTGGTCCAAATAGGACTACTATGTCTTTGCTTGTGGTCATGATTACACTGGCTGCTTGGCTGATTTTGTCCAGCTGTCCGGCAGCATTCCATTGCCTCCCGTCCAGCTCTTTGGCGTTTGGTGGTCCCATTATGAACCGTACGTTGTCCACCCGCCCTTGATGCATGTCATCGCGACGCAATCGTGAGCGTACTTCACGCATGCCAATTCCGACCATGCTTGACAATAATAGGTACAGTCAACAGTCCCTCTTTGACACCGTTCTCCAGCCCTTTGCCAACTATAGCCTCCCCCTCAATTCGTTGAGCCTGGATGTCAACTGGCACAATAATGTGGGTGACGAAGCGCCAACTCAATTCGATCGCCTTTTCAAGCATGTCACTTTGCTCATGCACACCCGCGCACTGGTGCTTAGGATACTCCCAGCCCCTGCAATGGATTTAACGGCTATGACTACAACGCGACGTTGTTCCCTGGTGAGATAGCATTAGCGAGACTTGGCTTGTGACTGATTTCCACAAACCGTTCGCCGTCCGCTGCTGACTATAGCATGCGCTCTTTGCAGATCCCAGCTCATTTTATGAAGCAGTGCTGGACGGTACTACCCCTGCTGGAACGCCCATGAAGCTCTTCCTCAACAGTCATAACTTTCTTGGTGCGATGTGCTTGGCTTTTGTTCCATCGGCCCCGGCGCAGCTTGGTCTGCACAAAAAGCGCGTCAGATTCATGTTGATTGTTTCGGATAGGCGTTGACGCTTGCCAGAGCATGTATCACCAGTACGCAGAGGCAGTGGGCTTTAACACCAGCACCAATGCCACCATTCCAATGAACGTGACGAATTTGGAGCTGATGCAGCCTTTTTTTGAGCTCGTACTGCCCTCGGTCAACACTTCTTACTGGTTTGTTCTTGGTGTCGGGCTCGGCTTATGGCAGCATCATTTTATCGGCTCCAACGATGATAATGTCACTCTTCTGTGTGTGTGTGTGTGTGTGTGTGTGTGTGTGTGTGTGTGTGTGTGTGTGTGTGTGTGTGTGTGTGTGTGTGTGTGTGTGTGTGTGTGTGTGTGCCTTTGCTCTGACTGTCAACTGCGGCGTGGCATTTAGGTGGATGGATGGGGCGGTGGCGCGTTGGGGCGTGGGGGAGCATGATAACGCTTGGAACATGTTTTGGAGCACGCACATGCATGATGCGGCACAGCGTGTGCTTGGCAAGCGACCCGCCGTGCTTGCTCGCAACGGGGGTCTGGGCCAGCAGCGTTACCCCATTGGCTTTAGTGGTACGTGGAGGGGTCTGGCCCTGAGTGTTGGGGATTACAGAGCTAAACTTGCCCCGCCACGTGGGCGCAGTAGTTGCGAGGATGGCGCGAGACAAGCTCATTTGACTTTGTCGTGGTGATGGTCGTAATGGGCGTGGTTTTAGGTGATGCCGTTTCCTCGTGGCAGACGCTTCGTGCTGAGGTTCAAATGACGCACACAGCGTCCAACGTGGGCTTTGCCTACTGGTCACACGACATTGGGGGTTTCAAGACACCCGATCCGAGTGCTGAGTTGTATCTGCGCTGGACCCAGTTTGGCGCAGTGGCCCCTCTGTTTCGGTCTCATGGAACCAAAGGGTCTGAGCGCCGATACTGGAAGTATGAGCACTTTGATCTGATGAAGCAAGCTCTACAGCTGCGAGCGGCGCAGTCTCGCTACATCTACACCTATGCTCGCGTTGCGTTTGATTACGGTGTTGGCCCGCTGCGACCCTGTTACTATTCCTGGCCAGAGGAGGATGGCGCTTATAGCCACGACATGCAATATTTGCTGGGCGATAGCCTCCTTGTGCGTCCCGTTGAAACGCCGGTGGACAATGCCACCCAGACAGCCAACATCTCTCTCTGGGTGCCTCCAGGTGCGTGCATTCAATTGGCTTCTCAGCGTTTTTATTTCCTGTTTGGCCACGGCCGGCCCTGTGAGATCTGAAATTGTCCAAACGTCACAGGCGAATGGTTTGACTGGGAGAGCAATGCCACCCTCCTGGGCCCCAAGACCTTGGCTACGCAGGTTCCCCTGCAGACGCTGCCGCGCCTTGTACGAGCGGGTTCCGTGTTGGGGTTCTTGCCCGAGAGCCAGCGCGATACCCTGAATACCTCGCAGTTTGTGTGGAACGTCTTTCCGTCCTTGGCGGCTTCCACGGGCATGGGCACTCTCTATGTGGCAAGTTTCCAGCCCAGAAACCTTTTGACGCCACCACGCTGCCTCCCTCTTGCTACCAACGGCCCGTTAAAGCTGACTTGGAAACCCGTCACCCTTCCCAACCATTATTTCTTAGGATGCTGGATTTGACAACGAGTATATTCACCAAGACAGCACTGAGTGGAGCATCAAGGCCAACATGGACGCAGAGTTTGTGGGCGAGAGTCTGGTGCGTCTGCGTCATGATTGTGTTTTGCGTGCCCATCTTGCCCGGGATCTGTTCTGGTAGAGTTGAGCACGGACTGCCGCAAGAGCCTCGTTCAAAGCCAGCTTCATGGCTATTCGGTGACTGGGTGTGTTCTGTAGATGGTCAATGTGACGGTGCAGGACATGGCTCAGCCGGACTTGGCACAGCGACAACATAGCGTATCACTGCGCGGTGCTGCCGCCTTCCGTCTGCCCAAGCAAGTCACTTGCAATGGACAAGTTCTGAATCAAGATGCCAGCCCAGGGTGGCAGGTGACCTCGCAGAGCAGCTTGGTGACACCGGCACAGATTGTTGTCGTGACCTGTCCTTGGACCTCCACGTCCGAGACTGTGGTCATTTCGGCCTTGTTCGAAGCATAAAACAGTCATGCCAGACGTCTTGCTCTACCTTTATTTTTTTTTCTTTTTTCTTCTTCTCTGCCTTTCCGTTGGGTTCGCCCTAGATGATGTACCAGCGTAGTGTGGTGCCACCCCCCCTCGTTCCCAATGGCCAAACTTCAGCTCTTGCCTTTCATCTCATTGCAGCTTTCACACAGCCATTCACAGTCCAAGGCATTGATTTCAGTGCGATGTGGGAAAGTCAAAAGTCAAAAAACTGAAACTCACATGTCAACACAAAAACGTTTTGATTCTGTTTGTTTGTCTCTCTCTGTTTTTTTTTTTTTTTTTTTTTTTTTTTTTTTTTTTTGTGGACCACACGAATGGTGCTTTTGGAACGAACGTATCAGACAGTGGCAGGCCAACTCAATCGGCACTGCTCGCGGTCCGTGAGTGGATTCACCTTGGCTCTCACCTTGTATTGGCGCACTTGGCCGATGGCAGCCACCTTTGCTGGTGAGTAGTTGCGTTCAGCTCGAACACGACTCGCTGCACATGGGTTGGCGCTGGTCTCATGTGTGTCGGCTTTCGGTCGGTCGTTGGACCGGGCGTTTGTAGGAGCGGTTGGGGCCGCAGTGGTGGGCAAGTTGCTCAAACGCCTTTTGCAGCACCAGCGGCCCACAAAGCGCGCGCGCGAGTTTGACGACGGGGACTATGGCATGCCTTCCAACCATGCCAATGCCCTGGCCTTTTGGCTAGCATCTCTGGCACTGTACTCGCACGACATCTGGCCTGATGCACCGCAATGGCGATACGGTGCTCTTGCTCTGGCCACAATGTATAGTGGAGTCGTGCTACAGCAGCGCTGGGCCACTCAAAGGCATGATCTGCCTCAACTTGTGGTGGGCAGCATTCTAGGCAGCATCCAGGCTGGCCTGTGCTTTTGGCTGGTGCAGCAAACCGCCCATCTTTGGCTATGAGGGCAATTCCTTGAGGTGCCAAATTTCCTGCCGCAAGCTGTGCTGGGTGGGTTGTCAAGTCTTGACTGATCGCTTGGTTTTTTTTTTCTTTTTTTGTTGGTTTGAGCGCAAAGGTAGACAAGAAAAATAAGGTTCTTTTAGGGTAGGGAAGCGATGAAACTTGCGTTTGGTCTCTGGAGGACAGGCCGGGGGTGGTGGCCAGGTGTCAAACTGGAGAGGCAGGGGCTCTGAGAGTCAGACCTATCCAAATCGACTATCAACCCCAACGGCTTCCACGCCCATGTGCGCGGACATGACTGCGGCGATCTTCGTCACGCTCGTTACGATCACCGTTCTGTCGTGACGCTGATCGGCCATGTGCATGACGCGCGCCGGACTGCCCTCGCGCTGGGGGCTGCGCCCCCGATGTTTCTTTGGTGCTGCCAGCCTCGGGTCCGTGAGGTCCTGGGTCAATCAGCACACAACATGAGAAGGGTTACAAAATGTGAAAACCGTAAAAAAAAAGAAAAAAAAAAGAAAAAAAAGAAAGGGGAGGCCAAGTTTCGTTTCTTCTGTCCGTCATCAGATTCTATTCAGGAGGTCCGCGGCGGAAATACCTCACCTTGAAGCGCAAGCTCAAGTTCGCGCGCCAAATCATCGAGATAGACGGGTGATTGGCGATAGAGCTGTAGGATAGTGGCACAAGTTTGCTCAAAGTCATCGGGATGAACACCAAAACTTTGAAACCACAAGTCGGGCATCGGGATGTCTACATATGCCAGGGATGATGACCGGGGTGAGCCAAGGGCCATGTTCGCGGTTGGCGAGAATCAAAGACAAAGCTCAGCACCTAGCTTGCGTGTGGCCAGGTCAATACAAGCACATGCAATGACAGCCACTTCGAAGCGGAGAAAGACATCGCTTCGAAGCGCATCATTCATGTAGTTCCAGGCCAGCTGAGCCACGTCCTGTTCGGAAAACCACGAAGGAGTGATTTGCTGAGTCGGGCCAGTACAAAGCAGAATCGGGTATGCTGGTCAAGGGGGAGTGATGGGAAGTTGCCAACCTCGCGTGTTTCAAGGCCAATCAAGCATTGGAAGCTCACAATCATCTGCTCGTGGGGTACATGGGTGACAGGTCGGTTAAGCGGGCAAAGCCATGTGTGCCCAGCCGTCAAAGGCAAGAGACAAAAGTACCTTGTGTGGGTGTTTGAGGTGAACACAAAAGCCCAGCTCTTTCAGAACCCGGCGTTCGGACTTGATTACGTTGTTCTTGAGTTCATGGTAGTCGTCATCGCCCACGATCATGGGTGCAAGCTCAGTCTGCTTCTCCGCATACTCACTAGGTCAGAGGACAAATCATCAATGCATCACGACCGTGTTTCATTTGCAAGTTGGCCACTCGGATGGCCCCACCAACAGTTGGGCTGATGCGCTGCGCTCACGGGGCGCTCACGGGGCGCTGTGCTTACCGAGTCATGCGATGTGCTACTTGGCGGCCAACCAGCAAGATAGATCGCAGCCGCTGATGGTCCTCTTCTGTCTTGGCTGCGAGGAAGAGGCACGCCAGACCCACCCACTAGGGAAGGAAAATGGCCCGGCGTTGGCATGGTAAGTAATGGGTGCAAGAATGCTCGGATGCACGGGGGTCAACAGTGTTGTGGCTCACGAGGAGACGGGGCATGGAAACCTCAAACACGAAGCAGGTCGAGTCGAATGTCAAAGGGAAACGGACAAGCGGCCTGCGCGCGCCTTGTCAAGGAAACGGACCTGTAGCGAATGGCGCGAGATGTCGAGCCGGCAGTAGGCACGCTGAAGAAGCATCTGGGCACAGGCCATCACCACCTACAGGCAAGTTCCATGTTCTGAGCCAGGTCGTGGCTCTGAAAGGCCGGCCGTGCACATGAAGCTGCACACATACCTGCTTGCAGCCCAGCAACATGCCCGTCTTCTGAATGAGCTCACAGCCAGCGATCCGAAGGCGCAGCTCGAGCTCAGCTGGTATGCCTCGGCGTCGAGAGGGAGTGTTGGCAAGGTCAAACCTACACAAATCACCATGTGCAGTGAAGCAAGGGCGTGCTGGGACGCGAGACAAGTCTCCGCAAGGCCCGCGACGTACCGAGGCAGGTCCGAGTCAAGGCAAGGAAACACGTGTTTCTCAATGCGCACGTTTTGCTGCTCCGCCTGAGCCATGTTGAAGACTTGCCCAATCAGCGCCCACGACCGAGTTCCAAGTCCAAGCCAGACCCCGTCTCATGCCACCCACTGGACGACGCCCAACGACCGCCGACACCACCTCGACACAACGACGCTTTGAGCTTTGAAAATGTTTTTTTGAGAATTTTTTTTTTTTTTTTTTTTGAGTTATGCGGAAGTGTGATTAAAAGTACAGTATCACAGGAACAGTTTTTTTTTTTTTTTCAAATTTTTTTGATCTGATCAGATTTTGTGGAGTGACGACTGCTGGGGGGTGAATGGGGCTGGGTCGGTCAAGGGGATCGCCGTCAGTCTGGGGCACATCAGAAGGGGTAGGGTCGTGTGTTGATGGCAAGGGTGCCAGTGGTGTGACGTGTGGCACCCAGGGGACCAGTGTCTGATCGGTTCTCAACTTTGGAGAACTGTGGCGTTGGCGCGTTGCGCGGGATGCGCGTGCTGGATTGAGGGGTGGACCTCCGGCCTTGTAAGAGCCGTGTCACGCTCGGACTTGTGTGTCCGAGCCGTTGGTGCGGGGGGGAAGGAAAGGAGCGCGAGAGTCATCCTTTCATCGTCGATATGGATGTGGCTGTGGCCTTTGACTGGGCGACGGCCGCCGTCATGTACGTGCCTACCGTCTTTCGCACGAGTGCGATTGCCATTCTTTTCCTCTTTGGTTGGGGGGTCAATGTCTACGGATTTGATCGCTACAATATCCCCTTTCGCAAACTGCTGGGCATGTCCTCTGCTTCGGCGCAATTTGGCGACATCATGGCGGGAGTGCGGGTGCTGACTCTACTACTGGTCATGTGCTTTTCCTGCTATATCGGAGCCTCTTATTACGAGCTCGAGTACGCAGCAGCTGTGACGCAGGCCTTGTTCTGGTTCTGCTTCATGCTGCTTTGCGTCTTTTCTCCCCAGCGCGTGTTTGCGGGCTTTCGACGCTTTTTTTGGGACCGCCTACGGACTTTCTTTACGTTTTCCAAAGTACACTTTGTCGACGTCTTGACGGCCGATGCGCTGACAAGCATGTCCAAACTCTTGGCAGATCTACAGGTGTGTATCGCTGGCTTGCCCACACTCTCGCGCGCGACTTGGCGTTTCTTCTTTGACAGCGGCTGAAAGAATCTCACCTTTCGTCTGGAACATGGTTGGCTGCTTTTGCTGATAATTTTTGGGGAACTGAGACAGATTGTGGTGTGTGCCCATGTCGCCGTGTTTACGTTTGATGCGGGTAACTCGGAGCAGTGCATGCACAGCAGTGTGGGACCAATTCTTGCCAGCTTGCCATATGCAATTCGAGCCATCCAATGCTATCGCGCATATCTGGACACAGGCTCCACTCACAACCTCATCAACTTGGGCAAGTATTTGAGTTCATTTCCCGTGATCTGGACCTCAGCGCTCAAACATCAACTGGCCCCACTGGAGGGTGCCAAGCTCGATGCGCATGACCAGCACTTGCAAATTCTCTGGCTGTATTGTGTCACCATCAATACACTCTACTCTTTTCTGTGGGACATCCTGATGGATTGGGGGCTGGCGCGAGACGCCAACGCACGTTTCCCGCTCTTGCGAAATCATCTTGTGTATCAGTCTCCGTTGCCTTACTACTTGGCCATGGTATTGGACTTGTGCCTTCGACTCTGCTGGAGCCTCAAGCTGTCCTCGCATCTTCAGCAGCACGCCTCTGGTTGGTTATGTACACTTATACGGAAACTTTGGTCCAATGCCAAGCCAGAAAGGGCAGGAAGGATTAGATGGACCTGCAGGTGGCGCGCCTGGGAAGGCGGTTGCGGGCAAGGGATGTAATGAGGGAGGCTTGTGTGGTATGGTGCCACCTGCCCCGTGCTCTGGAACGAGGTGTCTCATGCCATGGCCTTGTTTGCTGCACTGCACATGCTATATAGGCCAGGCCTTTGTGTTTGCCTTTGAGGTCTTGGAGGTGTTTCGTCGGTTTGTTTGGAATTTTTTTCGCGTTGAGTGGCAATACATTCAGCACTCCCTGGATGGACCGGTACCCCATTCGCCCACAGGTTTGGGCGATCGCTAAATGATACGACGTCGCTTTGTTCTCCAAGCACCAGCCACATGTCCCTGGCCATGCTAGGGACCTCGTTGCACACTCTGCTTTGCCTTTTTTTTTGAAAGCGCATTTGGTGCGGGGCCGACAAGACGTTAGGAATTGACAGATGCTCGTGATGGCGATGATGCCCAATTGTTGCCGCTGGTTTGGTCGATAACGCACGAGCCATGGCTTGGCCTTTTTAGCTTTGCCTCTGCCTCTGTCTCTGTCCATGATGTTTTTAAGGACGGTCGGGTATTTACTCAGCTGCGCCAATGCCAGGCGTGTCATGCAAGGGCCGCAGGCCTAAAACGGACCTACTTTGGGGTCGAAAAAGGGTTTTCATATTCAAGACAAGTTGCGCTGATCGTTGTACAGCTTGAATGATTATGGCTGGAGAAGAGGATGTGTGCCACACCAGATCGTCCGAGAAGGGAGCGTAGTTCCTTTTTTTCTCACTCGTGTTGGCCATGCTCAACCGACCTTTTGCTGACACGGAGATGCACAGCGCTGACCCTTCTTGTCAAAGGCCTCCAGGGCATCCGTGTGGCGATGTGGCTACGCGAAAACGATCCTCTCGAGGGGTGCGCACGCACGCATGCATGCTTGGTCGCCGAGCGTCCGATATCGGGCGGTGGTTCCACGAGCGTTGACAACCAAGGGTTAAGGGGCTGCGAGTCAGCAGGGGCAAGGTTCCGCCCCGATGCGCTGGCTTAGGCTCAATTGGATCGTAGCTGGAGCTCTCCATATGTGTGGGACGGGAATAATTAATTTTGTGCGTTGAAAGAGATGTAAGTTTGATTTTTGATGTATACGGGTGTGTATGGCATATGGCATCGCAATGGAAGCACCGAGCTGCATCAAACAGCAGGAGCAGCAAGGGTAAGAGGACTTTGTAGACCGACCAACCAGCTGATGGGCAGTCAACGCGCGCGACAAACATACCGACGATTGACGCTGATCAAGGGTCGAATGAGTGAGACGAGGCCAAGATGCGCTTGCGCATGCACCATCGCCTATCACACGCATCTGTTCAACAAGTCACACACGGCCCGTTCACACCAAGGTGATCTCTTATTTGACGTCCACACCTATGCCCCTGGTTTTTCACACTTGAATATCGGCACATGCACATTGTCATACAAAAGAAAAGAAGGAAGAGAGAGAGATTTCGAGAGAGAGATTGCGAGAGAGAGAGAGAGAGAGAGAGAGAGAGAGAGAGAGAGAGAGAGAGAGAGAGAGAGAGAGAGAGAGAGGATGTCGTCAGAAAGGGATCACATCACTCTCGCATAATACGAACACCAATAGCTGCTGCTGCCAAGTATCAGGTGTGTGTGTGTGTGTGTGTGTGTGTGTGTGTGTGACTGACGTGAAGCAGCAGGAGATGCCCGGAGGGGTCTGGGTATGGTGAGGGTACTCGAGCAAAGAGGCGGGGGTGGGCAAGGGGGAGGAGAGGGTATTTTTGTCGTTGTGACTCATGGTGGACTGCCGTGCGACAGGGCTCAGCTTGTGACGCCTTGCCTGCGATCTACTGCTTGGCGGCCTTGCAGTCTTCTCTCGAGGGGCAAGGGCCGGCTGCGCTATTCTCCACCAAGGGCTTTGTGGGCTGCGTTCGGTGAGAGGCGACAGCTTTTGCCATCGCCACCATTCAAGACCTTGGCTGTGCTGTGCTGCCCGGGGCACCAGTGCTCGCGACCATTTTTCTTCTGGCGAGCAAACCAAGCTTGCTTCGAAACAGGCAGCTGTCTGCTCGTTTCTTCAACCTGCGGACGGGCGCGCCACACTGCAATGGCCCCACCTAGTTCTTCAGAGAGGCCGCAGCAGCCAGACAACGCGCACGGCCACACAAATCCTACAACGTCCGAGCAGGCCTCCGCAACGGCCCCCACAGAGAATACGCCCATTGCGAATCACAACCAACAGACCAACTATCGCACGGTCCGGCGCCTGTCAACCATTGATGTCGATGTCATCTCAAACCACGGCAACTCTGACGCGCCTCATATTTCCACCTCCAAACTATCTGGTGATCGAGACTTGGCGCGATTGTCCGAATCCATAGCCAGCGCAGCCGCCAATGGCCTGCCAAACAATCCCGCGAGCACCCCGTCGGCTGGATTCGGCCGCAGCGTCATTGATATAGACGATGTCGTTGCCAGCAGCCTTTCCCCGTCGTCCTCACATGCGACCAACCAACTGAGCACTATCAAGCCACGGGGGCCCACCGACAGCAGTCGCTTTCCCTCCCCCTCGGGGCGTGGACGTGCCAGCAATGTGAGCCGCATCAGCGTCACTGGAGACATCTTGAAAGACCCGGAAGGCCATGACCACAGCCTCTACTTTTCCAGCAGCCGCAGCCACTCATCTCATCGTTCCCGACCAGAGTACGTGCTTCTGACGCTTTTCTTGTTTGGGGGACCTTTTGTCGCACACGACGCCCCTCTTGGGCTCGCTCTCTCACTTGTGACTGTCCTAGATCGCCCCACCATCGCCCTTATTCCCTTGACTCATGCTTGTACGCCATTGGCGCTAGGCTTAGTTCCGAGGAAGCCAGATTGGGCGGAGAACCGGTGGCTGAGAATGCCGATGGCGGATGCCACCATGCCCCAACCGTCACCATGGCCTCAGATCTACTCGCGGTCCACAATCATCCTGCCCTTGAGCGCCTAAGCACCTTTCTGGTTTGTACCCACACAACACTGCTTGGCCTGTTCTTGTTTTGATGCTCCTCAAGCTTACTGGCCTCGCTGTCAAAGAGTGACACGTCTCTCATCTCAACTGTCCTGTGCACAGGCCAATCGGCGACAATCTGCTCTTCAAATCATTACGGAGGTGTGTATGTCCCAATCCTCATCGAATCCCTTAGCCCCTGCCAGCCAGCTTGTACCGAGTACTCATCCGTCATTTTCCTGCTTAGGTCCGCCGGCCAGCGTCCAAGCATCGCTGGCTTTGGTCCTCCTACATCTTGGTGCCGGCTGGCGTTTTGTTGCCGAGTACGTCCTTAATTGCCAGCATCTATATTGTCACAACCCAACTTCAAGACTTCTCCACCTTCTCCTTTGACATGTGAAGCGTGCACCCATAACCTGCATCATGGCCCTGCTCACCGCCCCACAGTTGCGTTGACAACGCTGATCTTCGCGGCCCTGCCGCTTCGGGGAACGGACAGCGACTTTGATGACAAGCTCATCTTCATCATGCTAACCAATCCGGTATGGTTATAGCTCCTTGGTGTGTCCAACCGTCTGCAACAAGCAGTGGGCGCATGACTCACTCTTATTGGTGTCTGCGAAAAGATCATTTATGGCATTTTTACCGGCCTGCTGGCCATCCTATTCTGTACGTTGTAACCCTAAATCAAAGGCCCTGTTTGGTGGTATTACCAAACCGTTGGCTTGCATCGCCTCTTTCCTTGTCCACTAGCGCCTACAGGCTGCCCTCACCCTTGTCTGCGGCTGCCCTTTCAGATGCCGTGTTGGATGAGCGCAAGCCATGGCGCAATTTCAAGTAACTACGCTCGCCCCCCTACCTTGCATACGATGCCGCAGCTTAAGATGACCCATGACTTACAACCTGCTCTTCGACCGCCTCTCTTCTGATAGATTTTATGTGCCTCCAGTGGCAGCCTCAATCTTATCACAGATCGTACTCCTGCTCCTCATTTATCCTTTTGTGAGTTTTCATTTATTTACACCATAAAGGGCTAGCACGTTGGCGATGAAGACCAGGACGCAGAATTATGCTGCAACGTCAATCCCGGTGCAACTGCTCACCGCACTTGCTCTTGCACTTATTCCCGTTGCTGCACTGGCGTAGACGGGCACGTTTCCCCTGATGGGTCTGCTGCCATTGACCTGTGCCCACATGGTCGCTTACTACAGTCTCAAGTGGATGGAAAAGCGCGTTTGGCACTGCACCTGCTCTCATTACGCCGATCGCTTGAAGGTTTGGCATGCCCGGTTGGCTGTTGGCGTTAGGTTGCATGCGACGTGCCTGGTCTAATGATTCCAATGGCTGCATATTGCGGACCTCGTCTGTCCGGCCTGTAGGAGTTCAAGAGAGTGATCATTGCCGATTATGTCTTTATCATCCTCCTCTCCGCCTGGGTCATCTCGTTTCGTTATGGCAACTCGGCTTATCAAGCTGCTGCAACCGTGATTCTTCTCTTCATTGTACGACCATGCTTCCTTTGACAGACACCCGTCGTGAATGGATATACCCTAATTGCCTTGTCTAACATCTTCTTTCCTCTCCCCACCTGTGGATCTCCCCCTTGTGGCAGGTGTTTTTCTCCAAAAAATACATTCTAGCTGTGACAAGCGAGTATCCTCTTGAGGTGGCCATGATTCTCGCCGGTGAGTCGAGTCTCTCGAGTTGCCACTTTGAAATGCGTTCTGCACATGGTTTGACACTCAATATTCCTGCTAGGTCTGTGGCTTGAAAACCTCGATGACGTGTTTCAGAGCCTGGTCTTTCCCATCATTCCTCGTGGCTCAGTCTGTACGTTCCTGCGATGGCGATGTGGCGCGACAAAAGGTGCATCGAGATTTGCAATCATTTGCGCTTGGTCTTCGCATCCGTTTGGCGCAGTCATTTATGCCATCCTGTTTGGACGCAAGTTTCTGGAAAATTTGGCATACTTGCTTTTTTTGACGGGTAAGGTGATTTTGCATGTCAAGCAACGCACTCGCCCCACCAGCTCATCGGTCATGTTGCGCTGGCCTTGATAGACCGTTGGTTTTACTTTCGTGTCTGGATCAAGGATGCACTCAAGCGATTGTTCACGTGCACACTCGACAAAACGCCTGCGCAACCCGAGTTTCACGATTTGGACGTGGATGATCGGTTTGTCTCTGGGTCGGCTGCTTGTTGCCGCGACATGGCCGCCAAGTTACGTCCTTACATGTGTCCTGACTTTGGCCCGGCCCAGATATCTCATCTGTTCTTTTGTGGTTTGCTGTTAATACGTCCCTCTCACTTGCCATTATAGTGGCCATTCCAACCAACAGCCGGGGTATTTACGACGACAAATGCAATTTTACTTTTTTAAAATCTTGAGCCAATGCCACGCACAGCTCAACTACTTGGCCATGGCGCCGGCCATCCGCTGGTCATACAACGGTCGATGTGAGTACCAGCTCTCCCGCGCCCAACGCTTTGACAAGATTCTATGGACCTCTCTGCAGCTCATTCGCGGTCCCTGTTGCGGAAATATCCCTGCTTTAGATTTTCCTGTCTCATGGGAGGGCAGTGGGTATTGTTTGTCAGAGAAGGTGAGGCTTGACGACGTCATCAAGCTAGCGTAGGCGAGGTTAAGCTCACTTGTTCTGCGCATCGCTTTTGGACGCGAAAATTAGAATTTTTTCATTTCCATGCAATTTGCGGCATACAGCTTCTTTGTGACCCTTGCCACGGGGTTTGCAGGCTATTGGTGCGTGCTCATGGGCACTGCTCATCTTTCAGTCAGGTTGCGTGTCCACGTGCCCAAGAGCTTGATACTCACGCTTCAATTCTCGGCTACGGACCACGTAGGATCGTTGCGCACTATCATCGCAAGACATGGATCGAGCTGCGTGCCATTTATGGAGGCTTGCTGCACTCGCCCGTCTACTTTGGCTTCATCTCGGTCATCTTGCTCAATAGCTCAATGCTGGCGTTTAGGTAATGCCTACATGAACCTGGGCTCGCATGTTTGACGTGCTGATCATCTGTGGCAACAAACTCACGCCTGTGGTTCACGGTTCGCGTGGTCGTTTCATGCTGGCAATAGTATCGTCACCTTCCATTATCGCATCTACTACGTCGTAGCCGACGGACAGACAGAGCAATGCGAAACAGACTTATAAGGCCCTGTATTGAGCAGTTGTTGCCAAGCACCCGCCTGCCTTATCAGTCGTCAAGCCGCAAAGCGGCTCTGTGTGGTCCCGTGCAATGGACAAACCAAATTTTTCATCTCAATCATCGATGCGCTGATGCGAGCCGCTGGACAGCCACGCCACAGTGTCTGTACTTTATTGCCCCGCGCTTTTAAATGTACCACACCTTCGTCGTCCTAGTCCGTAGCGCGCCTCTATCATCATTGAGATGAAACTAATAATTGAGAGAATTTTGATCCATCAGGCGATATGTATCAACGTGAACCACTGTGTCGTGCGAATCGTTCGAAAAGATTGGTGCTTCAGTTCGAAATCAATTCAGAGAGGAGCTGGTTCGGTTCAGAAAGGGGCTAATATGGGAATGCAAAGTCAAGTCACTCCAAGATAATGGGTCCGGCGTGCCTTTAAGAAAGAATAACAATAATAATAAAAAAACTAAGATGATGGTGAAAAAGGATGCAAATGCAAAACAAAGGGGGCTGCTGAAGCAGGGCAAGGCTTCTTGACTAAGGATCGACCTCTGGTCACACAGAAAGAGTCACATATTGAAACACGCAATGGAAACCACCAAATGACGCGCATCGTATGTTCAACACAGCTGGCACGGCAGAGGGCGGATGTGTGCTTGGCGGTGTTTGGCGATGAGTGCATCGAGCGTGGGTTCCGAGGGCTGGTGTGCAAAGCGAAAACCTTTGCTGTCATGATAGATGAGAAAGTTGTACTTTGAGTTTTTGTGAACGACCGTCATGCTAGCGCATGCAAAGGGCGAACGGCGCACGACGAAGCTGCCGTCGAGGGCTTGTAGCTTGCTCTATGTGGATGCGCAGGCCGAGAGGATTCAGGCGGCGGTGTGAGAACACGAGACAAGTGACAATCAACTCAATGGGCAGGTAGTGCGGCAGTGCGCAAGCAAAGGCATTTGTAGACAAACACATCGTATAACTGAGGCCAAAGCTTACCAAAGCCTGTGTTGTCGAGACCCCGAGTTGGTTCCAATCAGGTAGGAAGGTGGGCCGCAGGTCGGTCAGCTGAGGTTGGGCCTCTACACCCACGGTGCGGGCGCGACGACGTGCTATCCGGGGGCTGCTTCGGCCACGCGTGAGACTGCGGGGACGAGGGTTGAGCTCAGTTCCGATTTCGGCCTCTGAGTCACTGGCCTCAGCCTGAGTTCGCGCGGCCACGGGTAGACTGTTGACCAGGGAGAAACGCATTAACGAATCGGCCTGCGCGCCATCGAGCTTGAGCGAAGAGCTGGAGGAAACACGGCGGATGGTGGTCCAGTTGGGGACCAGCGAATAGGGCAAGATACGATCCGGGTCCACTGAGTAGAGGTCCACCAGGGCTTGCAAAGTAGAGAAGTGGCGCTCGGTGTTTTGCAGGCGAAAGCCACAGGGCTCAAAGAAGATGAGGCGGTGATGTACAATGGGAGACTTGCTCTCAGTGAGCTTGAGGATAAGTTTGGCGTCATCACGGCCCGTAGTCGAAGAAGTGCTGCCCGAATGGGACACGATACGCTCAGCGCGAATCGAGAGCAAGAAAACGCCCGCACTGCGCGTGGCGGCACGGATTACAAAGGCACCATCCGGCAGTGCGGGTTTGGCCAGGTGGAGCTCAGCTTGGCGGGAGTTCATGTCGACCTTGAACCAAGTCTGGCCGATGTGAGGCATGAGAAGACGGTCCTCTGGGGCAAGCGCAATGACGCTTGGGGCTTCTTGCCGCGGTGAGGCGTAATAGGAGACCAGGTTGTAGAAAGAGTCAAAGCGTCGACCACCCAAATAAAGGAACTGGTTATCTTCACACTCGATGGTCTAAAACGAGCGAATGAAACAAGGAGGTTGGCAGCGAGTGAGGTTTGAAAGTCGTGAGTTGCGAGAGATAGAGAAGAGAGAAGAGAGAAGAGAGAAGAGAGAAGCGCGAACCTGAGTGACGAGGTTCTCCTGATCGTCTTTGAAGATGAGGGAGAAGCAGGTGGTGCTAATGGCCTCCTCGGCGTCATGGCGATGACCGATGAGAAAGGACTTTTTGGGCTCGCTCGCGAGACTGGCCCGCAAGGCAGGTTCGCTGAGAGTGGGGCGATAGAAAGAGAGCTGCTGGGAGACATGGTCAACGTAGCGCTCGTCGCACGAGGTTTCGCTGCCGGGGAAAGAATGGAGGGAGCTTGATGACGAGGCGTGCTGGACGCTCATGGCGTGCTGGGGTGGGATAGGGGAGGCGGACGTCGATGAAAGGGCACGGTTGTGGATGAGCGGAGAAACGGGTCGCGGGAGTGCATGGTTGGGCTGGGGCCAGGGCAGGCCGAGAGCCTCCGATTGAAGTTTGACGGGAGAGCTGGGAGGTTGAACACTGCTAGCAGCGCTGTGGTTGGTGCCGACCGAGGACGCACGACTGCGGCGCTGGAGAGCTGGGTGCAAGCGGCCAGGGCTGAGGGAGCGGGCTTCTGAGCTATACATGTCGGAGAGGACACCAGAGCTGCTCATGGCGCCGAGGCTGCTGTTGGGCTGCGTGCCCCAGCTCAGCTTGCCGCCGCTGCCGTTGCTGGAGGTTGTGAAGGTGTTGAGGGGCCCGAGGCTGGGCTTGCCGGAATTCATGATGGTGTCAATCGCCGAGCCGGAAGAGGAGCGGCGCAAGCGCAAAGGAGCGTAGCCCTCAGAGGCCACTTCCGCGGTGAAGGACTGCGTGTTCAAGCGGCTCAGCATGATGGCGGTACCTCGGACTGAGCAGCCGGGTGCGACAAGCAGAACAGCACTTGTCAACCAGTGCGAGAGCGGCGGACGTGTCTAATATCCAAAAGTTGCTGTGGGAAGGAAAATGGGCACCTATGTTGCCGTGCGTCGCTAAAAGGTGGTGGGAGGAGACGAAAGCCGGGGAAATATTTGCAACATCCGTCAGGCAGGATAAGGAATCAAGCAGGGATTGGGGCCGAGGTCCAAGGAAGTACGGGGACCGGAGCTGAACAAGGCCGCTTGCCCGCTCACTCATCAGGGTTGGCCAACCCAAATACCGACCTGTGGACCGTCAAAACGAAGAGTGATTTGGGGAACGCCGGTGTGTGAGTGGGAAAATGCGCGTATGGGGCGGTCATCCAGAAAGGGGGGAGGGGTGGGGGGAGCCTTGGGGCTGGGACGAATATGTAGGTTGGTTCAAGGCCAAACACCAAACACACACACAAAAGACTACAAAGGCAGCCAATCCACCCCACAACAGCTGCAGGTGGTGGCTGGCGAACGTGATACTGTTGTGCTAGCCTTGAGCTATTCGCGGAAAATGACCTGTCGTGGCTTTTGTAGTGTGGGCGGCTCGGGAATGTCGAGACAGTGCCAGGTGGCAGGCGGTGATGGTGATGCTTGGGGCGGCGTGAATGGATGCCATCTGCCTGCTTATGACCGTGTGACCCTCGGTTTTGGACGAGACGAGATGGCATATCGAGCGTTGCCAAACAAAAGACCGGGTGTCTCTGGGTTGGTGAATAAAGGGTTCCAGGTCACGCGCTGAGAGGAGAGAAGAGAAGACCCAAAAAGTGCCGTCATTTTGTGGGGACGTTGGGGGTGTAATATGTCTTACCCCAGGACATGTTGGGTCAGAGGTGAGGACGGTGAGGGGGTGAAGTGTGACGTATACATGAGTTGCTCTTCACACACACACACATTCCACTCTCTCTCACTCTCTGTTTGTTTCTGTGAGGACGTCTTACTTGTTGTCTTCTCTATCGCTCTGGCCCGTCACTCTGTGTGGTTGTGCTGCCGGCCCCTGACTGTCCACGCGGATCCGCATTGGACCCAACCCAAGACTCTGTGGCTGTCGCCGCAGACTTTGCAAGGTGGCCCCAACCCCCTTTTGAGTGATCAAGTTGGGAAAATAACCAACGTTGCCGTCGGACCAAACCATAACAGCCGAATCTCATGTTGTGAATTCGCACGAAAGACCAAACAAGTTTGGCCCATAATCAGACGCTTTTTGGCTTGTCTTCCTTACGTCAACACCAGCCAACTTAGTTGGAATGAACAGTGCGCGGCGTCCCGAATGACGCAATTGCCATCACCTACAACAGAGCCCTTTCCCCAGGCAGGGAAGCACCTTAGGCACAGTGTCACGCCTGGTCTCCGACCTGACTGACCATTTGAGTCTGGCCTGCCAAGCCCTACTGTGGCATGCTCCCCCACCCCCACCCCTGTGTGTATGGATGTGCAGCAGGGTGCCAGATGCCATTTCATGCCCCTCGTTTACCTGCTAAAGAAGTCGGCCTAGTCTGCGCATGCAATGTTTGCAACAGCAGTTGAAAACAGAATAAAATTCATTCAAGACGTCTTTTTTTTTTTTTTTTCGCTTCAACGGTCATTCGGGCGAAGAGGGGACCGAACTACCCGGTGACCTGCATCAGATAGCCCTGAGTCGAGTCGACGCCTCTACCCCGACTTGATCGCATTCATCAAACAAGAGCAATAACAATTTAGAATCAGCACATCTTTGTTTGGCGGCGTGTGAAATTCGAGGCGCGTGCGCTTGATTCCAACATGGACGAACGGCGGCGGGCAAAGCGGGCAGCCAGTGGTGATGGCATGACTAACAAGGAGGCTGCTCTTGAGGCCCCTGCGGCCGTGCATGCCGAACCAAATGCAGCCACTCTGGGCCACGACTTGAGTCGATACGACAATGAAACCCTCGTGAAGCTCACCGAGCACCTGGACCGCCTGGCCGACCAATCCGAGCTCGAGGCCACCAAGCTTCACTCCCTACTCGAGCAGCTCCGCCGCGAGTACGAGCCCATGCGCCGCCGCCGCGAGGAAGCCGAGTACGTCGAGATCAAACTAGAGCGCCGCCTAAAACACAAAAGCAGCCATTGACATGTGCACTCAAATCTGGTCTGCCCCTCTCCGTGTCGGACTGGACCGGGCGGAGAAGCGCCACTGACCAGGAATCTCTCTTCTCTGCGCCGTGGCCGGTCAGCTGTGCAGAGGACCACCTCCCGTTGCCCACAACTTGGATGTCTTCTCCATGTGCCAACGCTGCCACAGACCAATCTCGCTCGCAACAGAGGACAAATGATGCGATTTTCTATTTTTTAAAGCCCACCAGCAAGCACGCAAGTCTTTCTACTTGAGCTGGCAGCTCAAGCCACCGTTGCCTGCCACCACTGTAGCTCGTGATTGTAGAATGTGCACGACATCCCGAGTCCGCTGTCCGGCGAGTATTGCCAGTCCGCGCCGTAGGCCAGCTCGCCTTCTGTGGGCAGGTATCCGACAATATCTAAACCCCCCTCTGCAGTTGCCTCGAGCACATGAAAGCCGCTGTGCATGCCTACGGTGCACCCCGCAAACACTCGATACTGAGTCGCTGTCACAGCTCAACGAGCCGACTTTGGTGTCAGGTACACCCAGGGCCTCAAACGTTCTCAAGGCGCAGCTTCAGGACTTACTGGCAGAAAGCAGCTTGTCGGCCTGATGCGGGTGCCACTTGAGTCGCCAGATGCCCCCCTCCACGTGGACCTAATGCATCAGTTCAAGATGTGATGGAAGATCTGCCGTGGCGAATTCGGCCATACCTTCTCCATGCCCCCAGAATCTCTTCCCCCTGCCCGGCTTGCCCAAAGTATTAAACTGTCTTCCTCCTCGACATGCGCAGCGTTGAGCCTGCAATGCAACTGTTGGGCAGCATCTTACCTCGCTGAGCGGCGCGCGCGGAGACCGCAGATCCCACAGGCGGACGTATTCGTCGTAGCTACCGCTAACCAATTGATGCTCTCGATGCATGTTGCTGTGTAAGCTGCAAACGCCCATCTGGTGCGTCTTGTTGACAATCGAGGGACGGCCCGTGTCGGCACGCGTGTCCCAAATCTTCATCCGACAATCATCACCGCCACTGATCAGCACGTCGGTGTGATGATAATCATAAGCAACAATCCAGGCAGGGAAGTCATGGGCTTGTTGATGGTACACTCGCTCCACCCTACATTGCACCCAGTGGTCCGGCCGTGAGCGCCGGCCAGCACTCGCCCGTTGTTTCGCGAGAACCCATACAGCTCCAACTCACCCCTCAGGACGGAACTGCAGCTCGCTAATACATCCTAATTGGTCACTCACGGCCACCCGCAAATCGGACCTGACAGCCCCCAGCACGCCATCAAGATTGAGAGGCAACACACACACTGCATACCATGCCATGTAGGTGTCATGGACACCGACATAAAGGAAGGCGCCCAATCAAACAAGGTTCTGGTCCACGTCCCCAAACGGACAAGGTTCTGGCCCAATTGTAAAAAAAACAAAAAAAAAACAAAAAAACCGGGCATCCGGCAAAAGGCCAAAACAAGCAGGCGCCAAGGCTACACCCTGCTCAACTGACATACCCGACGCTCACGCGGTCATTCAGATCCAAGGACAGGGCCAGCTGCTGCTCGGCCACTTCAAAAACATCCCGGGCTTCAAGTTGGCGCAATGTCTGATCAGCAACCACGAAGAGGAAAAGGGGGAGGCACCAGATCATGAGCAAGGCGTGCTCGGGCACGTGGCATCAAGTGTGGGTAGCACCTCAGGCACACGTACATCATCAAGGGCAAATAGGCGCACGTGGCCAGCCGCATCAGTCGCAATCAACTGATTCAAGGCTTGTCGCCTAGCGCACCGTGATCCCCAGGTCCCCACGCCAAAGATGAGCAAGTGTGAGCGCGTCGGTGCTGATGCCAAGCGGCTCTAGACGAAGGACATTTGCGTCATCTCCTGTCAAGGAGGCAGGCCATTGCGGCCAAGTACGCACCATTTCATGTCCGTGATGGCTGGCAGATCATTCACTCGAGACAGCTCATGAACATCACTAGAGATAGCGGTCGCAGGCAGGCAGGGCATCGTCGTAAGGTCTCAGCGCCCTTGCTTCACTTGACTTCATCTTAAGGGGTTCTTTCTCAATGGCCTTGCTCCAGCAGGGGCTTGGGGTTGGCGGCCAAGGGACCGCACCAAGCGTCGTTATCGTAATTAAAGAGCATGATGCGGCCTGCACGCAGTTTGGGTGCCTCCGGGTCGGGGTTGGACTCGTCGTCTTGCAGCTGGTACAGACCCACAGCGAACAGCTCGGCGTTCACCCGCGAACACTGTGGCAGAAGCAGAACAGCAAGAGTCCACCCTGTAAGGATCTCATGCGTGCGCGTTGCTCAGCTCTGGTTTGGCAGCCGACAGATTTTACAAGACGCAGTAACGCCTGACCTCGACCGTATCAGCGGTCCATTCCACATCCAACTTATTGAGCAGCTCCATCCTGCCCCTGTAATTGTGAGATGATCGGCCACCTCTCAAATTCGGCACTTGTTCCACCACCGAGGCCGCACCGAGACCAAGCGAAGCCAGAAGAAAAAAAAAAAAAAAAAGAGAGACATGTGTGTGTGTGTGTGTGTGGTCTTTTGGCGGGAACTAGAACATTTTGTCGACAATTCTTCGAGGTGTGTGTGTGTGTGTGTGTGTGTGTGTGTGTGTGTGTGTGTGTGTGTGTGTGTGTGTGTGTGTGTGTGTGTGTGGTGTTGAAGCGGGGAGCAGGCAGTGGCATTTTGGGTTTATGAACGTGGACAAGATTTCCACGACCTGACTGCGTTGGGGTTGGCTTGAAGGAGACCTCGAGTGAGCGCCTGTTTGGACGGTTGAGAACATTCATTGTACTCCACTTGCAGCATCCATCTTCTGCTGAAAAGCCTGAAACGTCTTTCAGACCACCAGGTTGGTTTGCCAGTGATGATGGCCGCCGTCAAGCTGGACGCCTTGGTCACCGAATCGGGCACGGCCTTGCCTGAAATATCGACTTCAATGAACACGCTGCGAGCCTCTCCCGACGATCATGAACATGCAGAGCTGCCTGCTGCTCCAAGTGGCAGCCCGGCCGCCGAGGGTGGAAGCGGGCCAAACAACGCTGATGCCGTTGAAGATCAGCCGGATCTGCTTCAGGCAGTGGCCAGGATCTTTCAGGGTGCCATGGAGTCCACGCGCCGTGTGCTGGCCGGTACCATCAGCGAACTCGAGGCCGAACGCAATCGTCACCTCCATGCCTTGCGGCAAGACCTGGATGCCGCCCACGAGGCCGTCGAGACACTTGAAGCCGTAGGTGCCCAGCTTTGGCAAGAGCAGACAAGGACAGGAAAGGGCATGCGCCAATCGGTTCAGACTCAATTAATTGCACTTGCAATCATACATTCCCTGTCTCATTCCCACTTGCCTCGCCCCCACCTGGCCCATGCAATGTCTGCCCCTCCTGTTTGGAATTTTTCTCCGCTTTGCCCGTGCTGTATTGTGTCATTGTGGTCATCATCGTTGCAGGGTGTGACGCAGTATCGGGCCGCTCTGCGCCAGTCCTTGCAGTCTGCACTATGTCAGCTTGATGAGCTTGATTCATAGTTGGGCACAACCGAGTGTATCGCGTAGACTCCAGCGCGCGGCCGTGGCGGTCATGAATCAAGATTGGTATGACGAGAAGTGATCGAGTCAGGAGAGGCCAACACGTTTCCGTCATCCGTCGAGAGCCACGGGGGCGCGCGCGAGAGAGAGAGAGAAAAGGTGGAACTGGGCTCATGCCATATCCTCTTCAACCACGTCCTCCTCAACCTCGTCACTCACTTCCTCCTCCACTTCCTCATCTCCAACAAAACTGTCTTCAGCCACAGCTTCTTCCTCTTCTTCGACCTCGTCGGCAGAGTCGTCCTCCAGCGTTTCTGAGGCAGCCGAGGTCGTCAAGAACGTGGTTCCACTCGTGGATGAAGAGGTTGCCTAATAAAAAGTCCCGCCAACCAATTGAGCACAAGACTTTGTAAGCGCGCACTCAAGCCCCCCTGTTGTCTAGTCAACGTCCTCCGCCCCATCCCGAGCCAACATCCAAGCCCCCGTCGCAGTTTGCCCCAAAGAAAAAACTGGGAAGAACCCAAAAACTGGAAAGGGCGACCTCATGCATGCCCCCATGCAAGTCGCTCTTCCTCGGCTCGCAGAAGCCAGTGATTCTGGTCAAGCGTACCTTGGCCGGTTGGCTCGCAGGCTCATCAGCTCGGAGCCGCGGTCGTACAAGACCACGGTCCAGTGCGGGTATCCGTACAATCTGAGACAGTTGCTAACACATCAGCAGGGCCCCGAAACCCAAACGGCAGTGAGCGCAGCCCAGTCATCATTGCTTGCTTAAAACGCTTCGTGGCAAGAGAACCCACCTGCAAAGCAGCCAAATCTTGCGCCGAGAGCTCAAGATCCTCCCCCACATCAAGCGCTCCTCTGCCCGCTGCCGCCATTGTACCTTGAGCCCCCTCCACCCTCTCACTCACCACCACCACAAATCTGAAAAATAAAATAAAAACTTTATCATCACACACACACACACACACACACACACACACACACACACACACACACACACACACACACACACACACACACACACACACACACACACACACACACACACACACACACACACACACACACTACATGTTAAATTTTTTTGTTGTTGTTGTTGTTGTTGTGAATTTTTTTTTTGAGAGTTTTCAGATCAGAGCTTGGAGGTGTCGGTCGTGGGGGCAGCAGGAACAATCTCCACTGCCAAGTCATGGGTCGGGCGGCTGAGATTAAAAAACAACTGGAGGCGGCCCGGCAGCGGCGTCAAGCTGCTGGGTCACCGCCTTTGCCAGAGACCGAAGTACCGGCCGAGTCTCCGAAAGCCACTTCGGCGTCAGCCAAGTCGACGACAACGATCAAAACGGAGGTCCGCCGGAAGCCTTGGACGTGGCTGGATGTGGCGTTGGCCATCTTGGTCTACCTTTGTTTACAGCTCGTAGCCAACTTTTACCAGCTTGGCGTGATTTGCTTCATCTTGGCGGGATTTATCTTCATGTACCTCTGCACGCAAGATGGCGAGCGGCCAGCAGGGCAGCTCAGCCCGTATTCCGTCTTCAACAAGAACTTTGAGAAGATTCAGGGCACCTTTGATGCCGAAACCTACGAGCAGAACATTCGGTTGGTTGGTGGCTTAGGAGAACAGCCTGCAGTGGACTCGTTCCAAGCACATCGTCACAAATGCACTTGCACTCACATGCTCTCTCACGCCATTTCACTGTCCCGGTGGACCTGTAGATACGGCGGCATGCGTCGCTAGTTTGAGCGGATGACACCAATGCTCTCAATGTGGTTAAGACATTCAGCGTGTGCCCTGAGGGCACAGGAATTTTCGCCGGATGGCTTGTTTGTTAACACGTTGCAATTTCCATAATAGAGTCTTAATAGTCAAATGCGCGAGCTTCGCTCGAAATGAGTGCAAGGACCACACGACGGCATTTCGCGCCTCCGCGTCTCCTTGCACTGCAACGGAAAAAAAACAAACAAATGAAAAACAACTTGACTGCATCAGGTCGGGTTTGTTCCAAAAACAGATTCCAGGTCCTTGATATACCTACACGAGCTAGGCCAGAGGCTTGTCTGGACGCAAGTGTTTCTCGAAAAACTACCGACGCCATGACAGCCCAAATACGTGAGGTTGGCTCGACTAGATACGGATCGACGCGCTGTTTCATACGTACAAAGTTAAAATCAAGGCGCAGCAACAAACGACTCAGATGCTTGTCTTGGACAGTCGTCAAAACGCGGTAAAGAAAGACCGCCGTGCGACGGAAGCCCTGTGTGGATGCCATGCACCAAGGCGCATGGAATGAGGGTACACAACAGCCGACACGTGCCCTGTGCCCTCCAAACGCTGCCGACCAACCTCCTCCTCACGCACAACCTCGCGCTCTGGTAGGAGGCTGAGGTCTCGGTAGGCGTCAATGATGGCAGCCAGTCGCTCGCAAACCCGGAAGAGCTCCAAGAGAGCTTTGTAGATCTGTAACAGCCAGTGGGGGGTGGTGGAGGCCAGTCAACAAGAGTGAGCCTCAGCAGGCCGGCTTGCAGCTCCTAAACGACTTCTTGCGGCGAGATCCCATACCGTGGGCATGGCCACAAAGCACTGCCGCTCCAGTTGTTGCACAAATTGTGCATGTGCCTGTAAGCCCGCGAAAGCCAAGCCGAGGAATTGTCAGCGATCAAAACAAATGGGACGAGATCGACTTGATGAGGGCAGACGGCTTTTCAAAGCCGGCTGGCCTACCCGTAGAATGTCCTGGAATGATTCAGCTTTTTGCATGGCTGCAATCATGTCCTGATAGGCAGGAGAGATGACGTCCACTTGGAGATAGTGCTGCAAGCTGTCAATGAAGGATGTCATGTGCAGGCGCAGCTGGCTGACACGCGACAAGATGCCGACTGCTACAGCCGACTTGTGCCTCTGCCGTTCGAATTCTGTCTGTCCAGTGCATCAAGGCCACATGTGCGTAAAGCAGGTGAGAAGGCAGAGCTGAAAGGGGGCGGTTGCAGGTAAGAGGCAATGTTTGATCGTACCAAGCGGGGCCAGAGACCATGAACTTCTCCTTGGACGTGGCTCAGGTAGAGGAGGAACGAAAATATACGATTGTAGCTGTCCAGCCATCCAGCAGTACATTGGATGTGTGTGTTTGTGTGTTAGGGGTGGGAGTGGGGTGCAGGAGTGAGGTGAGACTTACTATCCTCTTGGCACTTGGGAGGTTCTCGTGCGCAATGACGCACCTGGTTGTCAGTTCTGAGGTGAAGAGAAGCTGCATGGGCCAGGGAACGTCCAGCCCGACCCGAAGGGCGTGTAATGCTTTTTCGGAAGAAGCTTCCGCTACTCAAAAAACGATATGTTGTGGAGAAGCAATGGTGAGTGCGAGATGCAAGCAATCGAGCGAGATGGGGTTTGAGACGAAGCTGGCGTACGAGGCGTACGATTGGAGACGTGAAAGGTGATGGCCTCGATGCGAGATTGCTGATCCAATTTCAGTTGCTGGGCAATCAGCTGGAGTGCCATTTGCAAATCTGCCGTGGTTCGGGTTGCCCAGGATTAACGGAGATGATGATGGGTCACGAAGCGGATAAGCTGGCATCGGCAAGGGGTAGAGCGTCGTACCAAATTGCGTTGTTTTGGTAACCGGCTTGGTCAGTGTTGTGCGGGCTTGCTGCAAAAAGGCCAAAAACAATTCACCGCGACCCAGCAGATAAACGTCTCGAGCCAACTGAGTTGCGACCCAGTGCGCAACCACCAAGTAGCAAGTGAGCCAGACTCGAAGTAAACAGTCAGCCTTTCGAATACATATCGACTTTCAAGGACAGCAGCGAGATGTGCACAAGCCACAAAAAACAGCCCGCCAAACAGAAAAGGAACCAGATAGGTGGATTGAGATTCAGTGACATTGCGTGACATAAGCTCATACCTGCAGAGTGTCCAAGAGTGTGCCCGCCGAGCCCAGAAAATTCCACAAGCGCTATGAAGCAATTCATGCTCGGAGGTAAGATGGGAGGATATGGCACGAGGTGTCCGCAGGGAGGCGAGGGCTATGCCAGTTTTGCTGGACGCAATTTCACACCTCGTTGACAACACCCAGAACCGTTCCGACCACTTCCTCAATGTTCCAGGCTGTGCAGGGCTAGTAGTGACGGGGGAAATGAGCGGGTTGAGCTAGCTGATTCCACGATGGAGCACTCAAATGCGAAACAAATAAAGAGGAACATCAGCATGAACTAACTGTGTCGCGGAGCTGTGTCATGATTCGTGTGGCTAGTAAGTGGTCCACACTCGCGTCTATCAGTCACAGCCAACAAGGGCAACGACCATGAAGATGGCAAACTTGAAACTTTTGCACCAGCACATGCGTTGTGTGACAACGCCAAAGGTGGGGCAGACGTGAAGAATGGGTGTCCAACGAACCTGATTGGTCACCCATGTTGAGGAGCAAAATGGTCCGACCAGCATTGAGAATCTGCAGGCACGATGACGTGAGATGGTGAGTAGCTTCGCAAACCCCCATGCTGTCGGCCAGCTTCATTAACGTTTCGTTTCGAGTAGAAACCGACTGCTCAAGACACACTTTTTCTGCCAGGGTGCCTGTGAGACACCGGGGCACCTTTTCCAGGCTCAGCGCGTATCGATCCCTGCGCAAAACAATCACAAAGTTAATCGCGACCTGCAGACAGGATGGGCAGAAAGCATCGACAGCAAGCAAAGGAAAAGAGCCGCCTGGCTTGATGGAAAGCGTACCAGACCAGACTGCGCGGATCGGCAATGGGCTCCTCTGCATCGGGCTGGCGAATGACAAAAAATTCGCCATGGGGATCGTACAGCAAGCCCTGGCTAATCCACAGACCAATTTGCTGCAACAACAAGCGTTCACAGCTTGTGCAGATGCTGGGCAACAAAAGGAGGCGGGGTCCGGTGCGGGTTATCAATTATATACCGTGGTGTGTGTACGCAGATCATGTTCAATCTTGAGCGACTGCAGCGAGCGACGCACCTGGCAAGCATGTCGCGAAGATGGGGAGGGGCTTGTGCCAGCCAGGTCTGAAGAGCGTCCAAAAGGACCACACCCAGAGGCTGATCTCGGTCTGCATCGCGCACGGCCTGCAGTGCAAAGGAAAAGGCATCGCGGTATGGCTCCAAGAGGTGCTGAAGGCGGGACAGCGTCACCTGGCCGGGCGGCCCATCTGCATGAGCGGCTTGGATATCCAACAAGTGCTCACGATACTGCTGCAAGGCGTTCTCAAGAGCGAGGGCCATGGCCTGGGGATACAAGCCTATCCACACACGGGATAAACCAGTGTGAGCTGGTCAGCAAAAGAGAGTGCCCTGACCGGGCCGAGGCGCCGCGGTACGGAGGAGCTGGGAGCTGGGGAGGGGCGCACGGACCATGATCTCCGGCACCATGACGATCCACAAAGGCCTGCAACTGCAGCGCCATACCGCCCACCTCACAGATCCGATTCAAAAGAGCCTCTTCCGCCTGACTCCCAACCAAACCCGGGCGCACCACCAGCTGCCCCTTTTGCTCCACAAAGACATCACCGGGCACGCCATAGAGCGCCGTAATCAGCTCGTCCAACATCCTGCCGTTGCAACCCAGCGCAAAAAAAATCGGTTTTGTAACGTCTCTCTCTCTGTCTCTCTCTCTCTCTCTCTCTCTCTTCTCAAACCAATTCATCTCTCTCTCTCTCTCTCTCTCTCTCTTCTTCTTTTTTGGACGGGTTGACTGCTTTCGTATGCTGCTGGGGTCTGAATATATCGCCCTTGAAACAAATAACCCCATGACGACCATTGTTGTTGTTTCGATTGTCAGCACGACGGGTTCGGATGAAATTTTTTTGGTCTCTCGATCCGCCACCCCGAGACGGCAGCGCATCCCCCTCCCCTCCCGTCGCCTCTCCTTGGCGGATCGTCTGCTGTGGCCCTTGTTTGCGTGGCGTGTCTGCGAAGCACGCGGGTAGGAGAACGAGGGGGAGACAAGTGCACTTACAGATAGGCCGTGTTTGTGTGTGTGAGAGAGAAAAAAAGTGAAGGAGATTGCAAGTACCGGCGTCGACTCGGCCTCGCTGCTGCTCTTGTCGTCGCCTGGCTGGCAGGCAGCTGGGGACGTCCACGTCAAGCTCTGGGCAGCCAATGCTGAACTTGAACCTGAGGTCTAGTGGTACATTGGCGACCGCTTTGCTTCCTTAAAGCCGTGTACTGCTGTGCGATTCCTTTGACCAGGGTGGCCCTCGGCCTGACTGCCGGTGCCAATTGGCTCAGCTCGACGTCAAGGACTCCATTCAACCCTTGACATCTGGGTCCCAAGCGCTGGGGCGCGCGTGGTTGCGGCGACGCTCCGAGCTCCACTCTTTCTTTGGGTCATTTGACCATGCCGCCCAAGCGCAGCGCCAAGGCCAAGTCGGCCTCGGGCAGCAAGAAGGAGCAGGCCCCTCCTCGTGTCACGCGCTGCCCGCCCGACTTTCAATGGCAAGCCCGCCCACCTTTGGTAGAGGCAACAGACAAGAACGATCTGGACCGTGTCAAGCGCCTCTTGAACAAGGGTGAAGACCCAAATG